TGAGGGTTCTAGAGGGGAGGGGGGTGGGAGGATGGGTTAGCCTGGTGGTGGGTATTGAGGAGGGCACATTCTGCATGGAGCACTGGGTGTTACGCATAAACAATGAATCATGGAACACTACATCTAAAACTAACGATGTAATGTATGGGGATTAACATAAGAATAAAAAAAAAAACCCAAAAAACTGTATTTTTGAGAAAAAAAATAAAACAAGACGACACCGGAGAGGGAGACAAACCATAAGAGACTCTTAACCATAGGAAACAGACTGAGGGTTGCCGGGGGTGGGGAGGCACGTGATGTAATGAGCGCTGGGTGTTACAGAAGACTGATGAATCACTGACCTCGACCTCTGAAACTAATATTATATGTTAATTAATTGAATTTAAATTAAAAATAAATACATAAATAAACTGCTTTTTACACAAATGCAGTCTATTTTAATTATTATTTCCACCCTATTTAAGGCACAGAAACTCTTGAGCAAGAGGGAAAGGGTTGATGGAACCCTATTAGTCAATGTTTTTCAAACTCATTAACGGATGAGGAAACCAATCTCATGAGCCACGATTAAAGTTTAAAAAAAATGAATGGCTATTGTAAGCAGTAAGGGTTATATATAATTTCATGAGATTTTTGTTTCAGGCATGTGTTTATGTATGTCTATACACTGGGTTGTGATGTCAAATGTATTTGTTACTGGATTCCCAAGTCAAAATGCTTGAGAGTTCGAAGCTAGTGTTCCCAAAGTATGTTCTACGGGATGACAGTCCCACAGTGAGTGAGCTCTGTCAAAAAAAGATTCTATGTGAGGTACCTGGGTGGCTCAGTCTGTTGGGCGTCTGCCTTTGGGTCAGGTCATGATCCCACGGTCCTGGGATCGAGCCCCGTGTTGGGCTCCCTGCTTGGTGGCGAGCCTGCTTCTCCCTCCTCTCCCCGCTCCTGCTCTCTCTCCCTATCCCTGTCTCTCTCAAATAAATAAATAAAAAATCTTAAAAAAAAAAAAAGATTCTATGAAGACGTAGATTTGCTAAACTTAGAAACCATCTTGTTCTTTTTCTGTACTCAAGGGTCTTAGAAATTAGAAACCTATTTAACTTTGTGGCCAGTATTTCCCAGATTTATTTGACCACAAGGCCCTTTGTTTCGGAGCAACACTAATTTACACCCTGCAGGACTATCTTTGAGAAATGCTATTCTAGCCGCATGGTGCTGTGACCCCCTCCACCGTCACCACCTGCTGAGTCAGCCGCTCTCTCTCTTTCTCCAGCATGTAGGTGACATCATCTCCTTCAGCTGTGTCCTGCGCATGCCTCTGCCTTTCTTCCTCAAGGTCTAGGATCACCTTTAAAAGAATTAAAGAAACAAAAATTCCAAATATCAAGAAAACACACTTATAACACAACACAATTAAATACTAAGCACCTCTCATAGTTCCAGAGATCAATCCATCCATCCCAGTCAGGGCCATCAAGGATCACTTTATCTAGTAGGGTGAAAGATATGCGAGCTATGTGCTAGAAAACAGTAAGATCTATGCTTTATTTCAGGATGCACAAAATGGCAAGTAAATAGAAGAGAGCAACTAAAGAGCTCTAGGGGTTGAGAAGGTTTCTGAGAATTAATAGATCCAGCAACTGCAGGCAGTTTGCTCAGACTAGGGGATGGGGGCAGGTGATGAAGCAAGACAGGACCACGGAGAGCTGAAAGCTGAGATCCTCCCCTCAAGCTCAAATCACTGTGCCCTGCATTAGTTAGTAACATGCATTTTGTATATAGTTAGCTGAGAGGTGGAGAGACTTTTGAGCTCAGCCTGCACATAAAAAGCCTCAACACTTGGGATCCTACGTGGAGATTTTTCAGAAGTCCTTTTAATTAATCTGCCTACCCCATTCCACTTATCCTGGCACCAAAGGATTAAGCCCAATTTGAAGGTGAATACGGTACACATTTAAAGGGACATTTCCAAAAAATAAATAAATAAATAAAGGGACATTTCCCACATAATCCCACCTGTAACTGCACAAGATTCTGAAAGGCCAGGGATTTCTTAGCAGCTTCTGTTCCTGCTTCCCAGGTGCCTTGGCCCAGACCTCTAGGGCATAGCCCTGTCCTCCCATCTCTCAGTGTTTCTCTTCACTAATGGTTTTCTTGAATGGAGAGAGAAGAGTTTCTGGGACATGAAGCCCAAAATGTTTTCATTTAACAAAAATGAAAACATCTTGGTGTTCTTCCTTTTGGTTTAAAAAAAAAAAAGCCTAACTTGGGGCGCCTGGCTGGCTCAGTCATCAGAGCATGGGACTCTTGATTTCGGGGTTGTGAGTTCAAGCTCCACGTCGGGTGTAGAGATTACTTAATAAAATCCTAAAGAAAACCAAAAACCAAAACAAAAAAACCCCCCAAAACCCTAACTTTTCAATTTAATAAAGAAAAACAATTTTGGCTAATGGTGGTCCATCATCTCCTCCCCTTTTGGAAAGCCCTCTAAAATTACAGAAATGTAATGAAAAGATAAAAACCCTCAAAGACAGAGATTGTAGCAGACGAGAAATGTTAATAACATTTGAAGAGGGCAGGAGGCAGGAGGGTGGTAGCTACTTTGGTATGGGGGAGGAAGCTGTTTTGCCCTGCACAGCCCCAGAGAGATCTGGAACCTGGAGGCGGCCGGTGCTGCAGAGGAGAGGTGAGATGTGGGGCAGGAAACAAGGGCACTGGCTCAAAATCTGTGTTTTCCAGAAGGTATTTGTCCCCTCAACCTGATTCCTGTACATAGAATGTTAGGCATCCACTGCCCAGGCATAAGGCAGATGTTTATCCTCAGAAGAAACAGAATGTGGCAGGCTCAGGATTTGGGAATACCAGAGAATGAGGGTGAGGAAAGGGGGATGTGTCTGTTTTAGGAAGGTGGTAGGGTGGAATGGGAGGCAGGGTGTAAGATAAATCCATATCTATAACGAGAGGAAGCATTAATATAAGTGTCAAGAACTGATAAGCAGGGGGGATAGTATACCATTTAGAAATATGGAATTTAGTTACCAAAATAAATGGTCAAAAGGAGAAAGTGGTTGTCTCTGAATATGGAGGAGAAGAGGGAATGGGGAGAGGTGGACGAGGGAACTCTGTGTTACATAATAAGCAGGGTAAGCATGTAATTTACAGTTCAAACCACAACACTTCTGAGAGTCAAAGAGGGTATTCTTAATGACTATGCTGAGGCAACTCAACTGGGACATCAACTGGGACTCTCTTGGGCAAACAGGGACAATAAGCACCCTAATTATAAGCCTCTAGGTACTGTTTGATTTGTAACAAAGTCAGTGTTTTACTTTGATAAAACACTTACAAACAGGCAGTTGGTTTGAAAATATTTAACACTCAAAGAATCTTACATTGAAATATAGTATTAAAGAATTTTGAGTTATTTTTAACTTCTTCCTCTCCCTCATCACCTAGAGCCACAAATCATCCCATCACTACACCTTTCATGGGCGTCACAGCCAGCCAACCCTTCAGGGCAGCTCAGCTGCTTCATGGAGGAAGGGGGAAAAAGGCCCATCAAACAAGCACGCTGTGAAGACTTTCTTAGAGGATTACGTAAAAGGCCCCCAAACTTAGGCAACTATCTCAGACCCACCAACGCATTTTAAACTGGGCATAAATGTCTTCAGATTAGTTCATTCTAGACCAGAGGTTAAACTCTGCTGGGTCTTGGACAACTCTGAGAATTCAATTAAAGATGTGGGAAAAAATTAACATTCTATAAAAACGTATGGACTTTTGTCATTCTGTATATTTTTGGGGGGGATCACGGAACATCTGAGGCCAATTCCATGGTTAAGAATCTCCACCCCAGGGGTGCCTGGGTGGCTCAGTCGTTAAGCATCTGCCTTTGGCTCAGGTCATGATCCCAGGGTCCTGGGATGGAGCCCCATATCGGGCTTCCTGCTCTGCGGGAAGCCTGCTTCTCCCTCTCCCACTCCCCCTGCTTATGTTCCTTCTCTCACTGTCTCTCTCTTTCTGTCAAATAAATAAGTGAAATCTTAAAAAAAAAAAAAAAAATCTCCACCCTGGCCTTTCATTTGGACACTGGGAAGAGTAAGAAAAATCATGGGCAAGACCTATGCCTAAGCAATCTGTCAGGTGCATTTTAAGCAGATGGCTCTCTAACGTAGGTAATCATAAAAGTAAACTAAAGTACATCAATTTGCAGCTGCTGACCCAATTTTTCAGAATAAAATGCTTCCTACTTAAATGTGTTGATGTCTCCCTTGCTGGTATAAATCTAAACCAATAGTTTTAGAAAATGTAGATTCTAGCCAAGCATCTTTTACAGGCCAAATCTGAGTGGTAAATCAGGTCGGGGAATAAAATCACAAGCACTAGAATTCCAATGAGATGAGGTAGAGGAAAGCACAGGTTTGCCTAACTAGGGGCTGTAAGATCTGGAGCCAAACGCGCGCACGCGCACACACACACACACACACACACACACACTTTCCTAATGGGGCAGAACAGCTTTAAGGTAAACAATCCTCGGGACTGTTTACGGTTTTAGAAGTAAAAAGCAACGAATCTCAAAACTAGAGATATATAGGGGCGCCTGGGTGGCCCAGTTGTTAAGCGTCTACCTTCGGCTCAGGTCATGATCCCAGGGTCCTGGGATCGAGCCCTGCATCGGGCTCCCTGCTCTGCAGGAAGCCTGCTTCTCCCTCTTCTACTCCCCCTGCTTGTGTTCCCTCTCTCGCTGTGTCTCTCTCTGTCAAATAAATAAATAAAATCTTTAAAAAAAAACCAACAAAACTAGAGATATATAAAAACAATCCATTGGCTTGCATGTTTATAATCAGGTAAATTCTCTCTCTCTCTCATACAGCATTCCCCAAATACCTGTTAATCTTGCTATTTATCACTTAAGTAAGCAAATAGGGAACGCTCTGTTCAGCCACAAGCTTGGTCAAACCCCAATTTGTTGCCAAAGGTTGGATGTTCAAGAGCTGAAAAAACAGAGCAAGTGTTTTGGAGGGTCCTATCAGGAAGGAATGCCATCTTAAATAATGTGTCTGGCATAGTCCCTAAATTTAACATGTTGAGTAACTTGTGTTTTCTCTCTGAGCTTTTGGCTCCTGGGTAGGCTGAGGGGCTTCTGACACCTGGGAGACCTCCCAGTTGAATTACTGTGGGAACCGGCGGCTGACAAGACAGGATCAGGCATCATTTATCACGAGAGTTTATGGGGCACGAGGCAGGTGGGTGAACGTACTTTGCGGTGCCTGCTCTCGGCGGCAGCCAGCTGGGACAGCATACGCTCCTGCATGCTCTTACACTGCTTCATCACCACCTTAAGGACAGAGAGTGGGTTTGTGCAGACTGGCTGCTTTTCGCCATCATTCTTCTCCTTCAGTGTCTCGAAGTCTCTCTGTAGAGCCATTAAAGGATCACTGATGTTGTATTTTCCATAGCGTTCTTCAATGAAAGTATCTCTGTGTTGGGCCTGGGAAAGAGGAAAAAATGAGCATTTTGCTAATTTTAACACTATTGCGGAGGGGGATTTGCTAGGAGTTATACGTTAAAGATGGTAGTGTGAGTATGAATGGAACCTGCTGACTACAAATCTGATTGGTGATTGGGCCATTTTAATGTAGAAACGACACCAGAAAGGGGGCATGGTATAATAATATTAAAGAGGACAAATTCTTACGTAGAGCTAACTATGTATTAAACATGGTTATAAGCATTTACATTCACATTAACTTACTTAAATTTTATTAGCCTTTAAGATAGTGCTATCATTTTCAATTTGCAGATGAGAAAACTATTATAATGTGGTCAAGTAACAGGTTACTCATTTAGCAAGTGGTCAGAATCAGGATTTAAACCTAGGCAGTCTGGCCTTCAGCACCATGCTTACTGCCTCTGCTTATGAATGCTTGTAACTGCCAGCAGGGATACCTTATCCTTTCTTTCTGTGTTATGGCATTTGCGTTTCTAAAATATGGTAAACATGAGAATTTTGAGTTTAAGTATTTAGGGATGTAACAAGGCGGCTGCAGATAAGTAAAGAATGCTAAAAGTGTTTCCACGTTATATTCTACGACATTTGTGATCTGAACATACAGAACCTCACTCAGTTATCGGTCGCTCAAGAGGGCAGAGGCACTCACGACCAGAGGTGCAGACAAAATCCCTTCTACCTGCTGCCAAATTCCACCCCTTCTTCTAGTCTCTCTTCCCTGCTACCTGCCATCTTCCTTTCTGTCCCCTTCAGGGCTTGGTGGGCTTCAGGGATGAGAGAGAAGGTGAGCAGGGAATGCGGGCTGGTGCTGGAGTCTGGTTTAGGGCTTTGGGCCTGCGTGCCAAATTGGATCCAAAGATCAGGAAGGGAGTGGAAAGATATTCTTTGGCTTCCCTATTCTTTCAGGTCTACTAGGAAGGACCTGAAGTAATACTCCGTATGAGCATTACATATTACATGCAGGTGAACAGAGTGACATTAACAATTACTTTACTACACAGACATTAAAAAGGTTCCTGAGACATTTTACAATGAAAAAAAAGGCAAGTGTTAATACAGCATTGAAGAAACGTTCTCAAAAACCACAGCAAAATACTATATAATTTAAACTCTCAAATGAAATCTAGTCATGAAAACTGTTATTTATCAATTTTTAAAAAATTATTTCACCAAAAGCTAGGTTTTCTTTTTCTTTTTTGGGGGGTGGGAGGAGCTAGGTTTTCTTACTACCCGCATCCACGAAGAGGAACGCATTTGAAAAGAAAGGGAAATTCACAATTCGATGGCTATGCTTAAAAAACAAAGCAAAACAAAAACAAAAAAAACCCTTCAAGACACTAGAGCAAACATGGGATTTAACACAGAAGTATGTTTCAGTCCTGAAAACATGATGCATCCTTCATTAGACTGTCCAAGTTTAAGACCTAGGAATCACTTAGATTTATGCTATCAATTTGTGTTGGTATCAACTGGCAAATGTTCAAAGCAGAGTTAGAAACCCTGGGTTTTACTGCTGGCTTAACTACAACCATTAAGACAAAAATTTTTTTTTTTTTTTTTTAACTAATTTCTACACCCAACGTGCGGCTCGAACTCATGACCCTGAGGATCAAGAGTCGCAGTTCCTCTGACTTGAACCAGCCAGGTGCCCCTAACTACAACCATTTTAAATGATGACATTATTGGGGTATTTGGATAAGACTGGTATACTGGAACTATGAAGAACCAAACTGATTTGTTCCTTTTAGTTACCATCTTAAGATAACCATCTTCCTGCCCTTACTACAAGTGTGTGTGCGTACATGTGGGTGTGTAAGCATGTGGATTAAAGGGGTAAGGATTTGAAAGATAGAGTCCAAGACAGACTCCTATTTTTTCAGCTCCCAATTAAAAAGAAAATCCTCAGTAAAATTTCAAAATAGTCTTTATTCCATTTTAGAATGGAGAAAGACAAGACCACTTCCTGAACCGGCTATTTTTATTCATTTTTAACATCATGGCAAGAGTAAAACAGAAAAGGCTAGTTTTTAGTTACATTTTTAAAAGGAATAGTGTCAGACAACAGAGACTCATCAATATTTTCCTTTCACCAAGAACATCTGTTTCTTTAAGTTCAGGTATAAGAACTTGAGATTGACAACCCAGGATTTGATGAAAGTACCTGTTTGTAGCTACTTATGTCCTAAAGGCAAATCCAAGTTCAGAAAAATGCTCAAAGGAAGCAAGAGGAAAAAAGACTCTCTTTGAAAAGTTGAAATTCCACTTTTCTTACTGTCACGTTGTTTTATTCATGATTACCATTTTGGTCTGATTAGCGATGGGAAAGGAATGATTCTTGGTACCGAAACTGGTTTGGTAGGGCAGAAAGGAACACGGAAACCTGAGTAGGTCTACAGCCTTCTCCTTTTCAGGACAGCATGGAGGAAGTGGGATGGGAGAGCAAGAGCTAGGAGTACGATTCATGACCTTGACAGATCTGCTGAGAAGCTGTCTCTCAGGCTGGAGTATACAGCTAACTAATACTTAAAAACATGACTTTTTAAAACCCACACTGTTATTATCCTGTATAATTAATAAGCATCACTGAGTTACGAGTAATAGATGAGGAGCTTCTTTGGTGAGGTCTCAGACTTCTCTGAGAACAGTTGTTAAGCTGTCTGTTTTCTCTTGAAGTACTTCACAGTAATTCCATAATCACTTGCATAGTAATTACAAGTTATACAAAATTGGTGGTTTTGCACATAAATGAAAAGAATCTGTGGAATAATCTAAAAAAGGCTCCTTGTCACAAAACAATTCTTTTAAGTACATTCCAATATGGGGCCCAGATATAGGGAAAGTGAATTCAAAGTCTGTATTTATTATAACGAAACAATGGATTAGAAAATGGGAAATGGACTATGGTATTTTTCAACCAACTTAACGCCTCAGTCGGGTGGATTGTATGGATGACAGGTTTAATAGAACAAATAATAACAACGACCACCAAAAATAGATGTTAAGAATTGAAGAATGAAAAGAGCTTTCATGGAGGTGTGTATTGGTTATCTATTCCTGCATAACAAATCACTCCCAAATATAGCAGCACAAGCAGTAAACCTTTTTTTTTTTTTTTAATCTCACACAGTTTCTGAGGGTCAGGAATCTAGAAGGGTTTGAGCTGGGTGGTTCTGACTCTGTGTCTCATGAGGCTGCTGTCGAGTTGGCCAGGGCTGCAGTCATCTGAAGACAGTTGGGCTGGTGCATCCATTTCCCAGCTTACTGGGATGTTGGCATAGGCTTTGGGTCCTTGCATGTGCTGGCTTCCCACAGAGCAAGTGACATGACAGAACAAGAGAGAGAGAAAAGAGAGAGGAGAGAGAGGGTGGGGGGGCTGAGAGGGAGGGAGGGGGCGGAGAGAGAGATCGACACCAAGATGGGTGTCCCAGTGTCTTTTATAACTTAAAGTTATAAAGTTAAGTGACTGATGTATTCTCCTGGTGACACAGACTAACCCCGGCAAATGTGGGAGGGGACTAAACAAAGGTGTGAATATCAGCAGGTGGGGTGGGGCGCCTGGGTGGCTCAGTCCTTAAGCGTCTGCCTTCGGCTCGGGTAGTGATCCCAGGGTCCTCGGATTGAGCCCCACATCGGGCTCCCTGCTTGGCCCTCTCCCCCTGCTTGTGTTCCCTCTCTTGCTATGTCTCTCTCTGTCAAATAAATAAATAATATCTTAAAAAAATATATATCAGCAGGTGGGGACATTGGGGGCCATCCTGGAGGCTGGCTACCACAAGGTGAATGAGTAGATATGCTACTACTATGGTTTACATCTCAAGTCCCTACTACATACTAAAAACTGTTAAGGCTGAGTTTTAATACTTTAATGGTATTTCATCTATTTTATAAGAAATTTTAAATGATCTGGATTTGACTTTTGAAGGGAGGAATTCAGTAATACAGCTAAAATCAATTAACTTCTTGCAATTTCATTATTTTCACTTCACTGACAACATGTATCTTAACTGAACAGAAATTTCTACATTGTCAGAAAACACCATGGCTTTTAATTTCAGACAACAGGAATATAATTGGCTGGATAGACAGATTCACTGATAGAGGGTATTGCTACAGCAGACGAAACACACTAGTCATGTATTACTCACTTTTCCTGTCACAGGCTGAATGAAGCACCACCACTACTAAAAGCTTAAAATAAAATTGTATAATGTTCTTGGAGCCTGCCATGCTTGCTCTCCAAAATTTTCAGCTTTGCTACGACAAACTTCAAAAAGAAATATGAAACAGTCACCTCCTCCCCCCTCCCCAATATAATTTATACTATTAGATATATCACATATGACAATATACATAAATAGTATAATATAATACATAAAAACAGTGCACTATATATATATATAGTACAGTATAATAGTATCCTATTATAGGAATATATGTGTGTGTATCTATCTGTACATTTTTTTCCAATCTTAAAGTAGGAAATCAACCTCTTTATTCTTTGGATGATCATGTTGGTGATCACCAACATGAAAAATGGTTCCAAATCTAAAAGTGAAGACTTAAGGCTCACCTAACCGGGGGTTTACGTTCAAGTACAAGTTTTATTTTCAAGACTCTGGCTGGTACCCTAACTGGATTAGGATACATCTTTGCAATTTACTGCCAATTCAAAATGATACTTTTTTTTTTTTTAAAGATTTTATTTATTTATTTGACAGAGAGACAGCGAGAGCAGGAACACAAGCAGGGGGAGTGGGAGAGGGAGAAGCAGGCTTCCTGCCGAGCAGGGAGCCCGATGTGGGACTCGATCCCAGGACCCTGGGATCATGACCTGAGCCGAAGGCAGACGCTTAACGACTGAGCCACCCAGGCGCCCTGAAATGATACTTTTAAAAGTAATCACCAATACAAACTTTGTGCCTTTATAAATATCTGACTATCTCTATGCCAGAGACCAGAAAGACCAGAGAACATGACTC